GTAATTCAAACATTCATTAGTGACTTCAGTTGCGGCTCTCCCCCCTTCTGCATTTATCAAGTTCCAAGACAAAGGAGCCCAAGCCATTCTACCATTCAGGTAGTAAGGTTCTTGAATAAAATTGGCATCAGTGGTCAAACCAATAATATTTTCTATGCCAGAAAGCTGGCATGCTGTAGCCGAACAATGGTTCAAATTAGTGTTCAGAAAATTGATATCCATACTAATGCCAGTGACACAGAAAATAAAAAATAAATAGTTAAAAAATATGAATGATGAAACCCCACCGTGATATAAAGTAAAAATCAAAATATAAATTATATATTCAAATGTTCAGGTACATATTTTACCTCTCTTCTATAAACCTCACAGTTCTTAGATAAAATACTATGATAGATATCGAAATCAGTCTCAAACTTTTCATTAGATGATTTGCAATTATTACAAATAATATTTTGGTTATTGCAACTTTTACGAAAGTGGGCCTCAGCACAGTTTAAACAAGAAATGTCACTTTTACATCTACTAGTAGTATGGCCAAATCTAAAACAAAGCTTGAATACCCATACACAGGGTATTCGACTGGTGCCCTGGTCCGTAGATTCTCCAGATCTGCCACCCATGGAAAACATCTGGTCATGTGTTGCTGAGAGACTGTTCCGCCACCCCCTTTTACTAGATATAGTTGATGAAATGGGACATAAACATGAAGCAGCAGGGAATGAGTTGTCCGTTTCTGTCATCCACGCATAGTTCGACTCCAGACTAACCGGGTAAGAGCCGTTTTAGCTGCCAGGGGTGGTAGCTGTTTCTATTAATTTTTTACCCCTGTAAGCCGTCAAACTGCTTACAAATTTAATCATTTTGTCTTCATGGCATCTTGTTTACGTACAGTAACTATCCCTTTTGTATTTTATTTCCTTCATTACGTTGTTATTTTAATGGCCAGCAGAGTATTTACTGTTACATGTAGAACCTTTCGGATGGTACGAATGAAGATGCAGGCAATTGTAAAAAGTCTCAAAAGCAAGCAGGGATGACACTGGGGCCTAAGGCAGTACTACATCGAGATATTATATAAAACCATAGTAGAGAAAATGATGACCTGAGCTGCAATCTGGGCTGCTCCAATGAATAAAGGGAAAATCAAACTGCTCAGCAACATACAACGGCCCTTTGCCCTCGCCATTACCAAAGGATGCAGAACAATGTCAACGGCAGCAGCCGCTCTACTAGCGGGATTGACTTCTTTGCATATTAGAGCTGAAGAGACTGTGCTCACTAAGGTACTGCAGCTGAAAGAAACAAATACCTGCAGATCACACTCCTATGTTTCCAAGGACTATGAAGAAAAAAGGCCAGTAAATGACGTCCACCCGCCTAACTACGGAAAAGGAGTCTCAGCCCACACATCCCGGAAAAATGATTCTGACATAAAGGATCAATACTATGTATACAAGGATGGTTCAAATATTGATGGACAAGTAGGCTGTGGCCTCATAGTAACTAAGAACAAGATAACGCTGATAACATGGAAAAGCCATATAGGATAGAATACTTCAGTATTGCAAGCTGAAACAATTGACATTCGCAAAGCTATCGAGTTAACAAGCCCCGCAGCCTGTCGGTCGTGTATGCCTTACGAAATCCCAGACACCCTTCTCCCATCATAGTGGATATTCCAGAGATGCTGCAGGAGCGTTCTTCGACAACGAATACCCTTATTTCTTGGATAAAGAAGCATGCTGGTATTCAGGTTAATGAGGAAGCCGACAGGCTAGCAAAACAATCAGCTCACAATATCGATGCTCAAAGTGTTATAGCCAAACTCTCGTGGTCTCACCTTAAAGTGACAAGGACAGCAGCTCAGCACCAGTGGTAATGGGAATGGGACACTACCGAACAAAACAGAAGGACCTATGACTACTACCACAAACTCTCGCCCGACCGTCTTGAGTCATCCCCACAAATAACAAGATTTGTGACGGGGAACGGGAGTTTTTCCTCCTATTACTACAAACGAGGAATTGCAAATACCTATGGATGTGTCTGTGAAGACATGAACAAATCAGACCATTACTTGATCCAATGCCCTCTAACCGCGCAGTAGCATGCGCAGTTTTCGAAACAGGCAGTATATCATAAGCGTTATCTGACCAAAAAGCCAACATTTTGCAGCAAACTATGCAAGATAACGCAAAAACTGGAGGAATTGGGAACAGACTTGTGTAGTGCGAAATATATCTCACACAATCTTTTTTCCTTTCTTGCAGGTTTAGTAGAGATCAGCATCGGGTATGTGTTATATATATTATGAAACATGGATGTATTATGGACAGTGAATTATTACCAACTATGTAAGAATGTATTGTGGAACAGGATCAATGTATTATGAACTATGTAATCATGTATTATGAACTATGTAACTATGTAAACATGTATTATGAACTATGTAACTATGTAAACATGTATTATGAAGTATGTAAACATGTATTATGAAGTATGTAAACATGTATTATGAACTATGTAACTATGTAAACATGTATTGTGAGCTATGTAAGCATATAATATGAACTATGTAACTACGTAAACATGTATTATGAACTCTGTATATTATGAACTATGTAACTATGTAAGCATGTACTATGAACTATGTAAGCATGTACTATGAACTAGGTAAGCATGTGTATGTAGGAATTATATAAGCATATATTATGAAACAGGATCAATGTGTGCTCTTATGGGGCACATGAGGTGTTGTTCCGGATAGTTTCGGAGTCTGGACTAGACCTGAAGAGTCTAAGTAAGCCGCTTAGGTCTAGTCCAGACTCCGAAAGGACTAAACAGTACAGACTTACTGCTCTCAACTGTCAACTGTTACATTTAGGAACAAATACTAAGGATATTCTAAGAAAAGTATTTATATGGTTTTAAGACACTTCACAAATATTATTTTGTTGCTTTTTCAGAAACCCATAATCAGGAAACAGAGGGAGGGGGAAATAGCTATTAAAGTGTTTTAATTTAAAATATTTTTTACTTTCAATATTTAACAATGAAAATATACCAATATATGAATCTTAAATTTGCATATAAAGATTGGGCCGCATCATAATTGTTGGATGAAATTTACGCTATAAGTTGTAAGGATTATGTTAATTTTATTAACAGTTAAATTTTAAGTTAAAGTTCCTTTCCTGTCAAATTCTTAACTTCAACTTACTACTTCCGGCCAGAACGTAGTTTTGGAATCTTGCTGAATATTTAATGAGGAGGAGCGGTATTTAAACCACGAAGTTACTTACTGAGTCAGAGAGAATCAGAGTTTCTGATTTACGCGCGTCTGCCTTTTTGGCCACTCACTATCAAAGCTGTTATTACACTCGACCGTACTCAGGCCCTTGCTAAGCTTCGTAGTCAAATAAGTTAAGGGGCCAACTCGATTTGAACCTTGATAGCTTCGGCTATACACTGAAGTGACAAAAGTCATGGGATAGCAATATGCAAATATACAGATGGCAGTAGTATCGCGTAGAAAATGTATAAATGCGAAGTGCTTTGGCAGGGCTTTCATTTGTGTTCAAGTTATTCATGTGAAGAGGCTTTAACGTGATTATGGCCGCACGACGAGAATTAACAGACTTTGAACGCGGATTGGTAGTTGGAGCTAGACGCATGGGTCATTCCATTTCGGATATCGTTAGGGAATTCAACATTCCGAGATCCACAGTGTCAAGAGTGTGCCGAGAGTATCTAATTTCAGGCATAACATCCCACCATGGACAGCGCAGTAGCCGACCACCTACACTTAACGACCGAGACCAGCGACGTCTGCGTGTAGAGTTGTCAATGTTCACAGACAAGCAACACTGCGTCAAATAACCGCAGAAATCAATGCGGGACGTACGAGGGACGTGTCCGATAAGACAGTGCGGCAAAATTTGTCTTCCTTGGGCTATGCCAGCAGAAGACCGACTCGAGTGCCTTTACTGAACAGCACGACACATCGCCTGCACGACTCTCTGGGCTCGTGTGGGCATATCGGTTGGTCCCTAAACGAATGGAAAATCGGGGCTTGGTCAGATGAGTCCCGATTTCAGTTGGTAAGAGCTGATGGTAGAGTTCGAGTGTTGCGCAGACCCCACGAAGCCATGGACCCAAGTTGTCAACAAGGTACTGTTCAAGCTGGTGGCGGTTCCATAATGGTCTGGGCTGTTTTTTACATGGCATGGACTCGGTCCTCTGGTGCAACTGAACCGATCATTGACTGAAATGGATACCTTCAGCTACTTGAGATCACTTAACAGCCATTCATGGACTTCACGTACTCAAACAACGATGGGATTTATATAGACAATGCGCCATGTCACCGGGCCACAATTGTTCGCGATTGGTTAGAAGAACATTCTGACAATTCAGCGAATGATCTGGCCACCTAGATCGCCCGACTGAATCCCATCGAACATTTATTGGCATCATCGAGTCAGTTCGTGCCCAAAACACTGCACCGTCAACACTTTCACAATTATGGACGTTTATAGAGGCAGCATGGCTCAATATTCCTGTAGGGGACTTCCAACGACTTGTTGAGTCCATGCCACGTCAAGTTGCTGCACTTCTCCGGGCAAAAGGAGGACCAACAAAACATTAGGAGGTATCCCATGACTTTTATCACTTGAGTGTACTTCTTTAGTTAATCTTAGTTTTAGTTTAATTCTTAGTCTTTTAAGTTCAAGCCCAAGTGCGGGCTTTGCTTGTACACTCCCAGGCAGAGTTTTGTGAAATCTTATTGCAATAATAAAGGGTTAGTTACCCTTCTATCTTGTTGTTTCTTGCCACCGAACTCAAGCGATTATTCGCTTATCACTTCTTAGATTCTTCACTTCCAACATTAACTTAGAATTCCAAAGTGAGGAACTCTACAATATAATAACATTATTTATTTTCTGAAATAAAAAAGTAAAATATTGCTATAAAATTTTATGTAAATAAAATCTTACCTGGAACACATAGAAGAAGAAATAATGAAATTTTTGCGGACGAAATCTGGAGATTCCAGGTCATGGGCTGATGCTTGTGCTGGAGTACAACTAATTGAATCTGATTCGTTAGTGCCATTACAAAGAGCTTTCGTATTTTTCGGAGAAGTGTAAGTCGAATTTGATTCATCCGTGATGCTTCGGCCATGGTAAATGATTGTCTCATAATCTTCTTCATCCTCTTGTACTATCACTTCAGTAGAATCTAAGCAAAATTACACTAATACATCATATTCAAAACTATGATAAATTAGTTATCTTTTAACAGCTTTGTACAAATTCGTAAACAGAAAAATGACGCTAGGCATTTTTACGCTTTTAAGTACAAGAATAAAGATGATCAGTAAATATTAATTGTGGATGACGTTAGATAAAAAAACAGCCAAGAATGGGAAAAACGATGATAGAAATTTATTACCCATTATAAAATTATATCTGATTATTAAATAAAATTACTTTTCTTATAATTCAAAATTAACACCAATATTTCACTTTTAATTCACTACGCACTATTTTCGTAAAAATAGATAAAAGAAATCCCTGTTGTGCAATTTTGCAGTAAACCAAATCAACATTTGTATGGTCATTCAAATGTTGTAGTTGATTATTAAAAGTACAAAAGCAAAGCATAACTCATGGTCATTAAAAGGATAGTGTCTTAATTCCGATAGAAAATTTATGAGAAGGTTAAGTATTTCAATTAAATTTCATTAAAACACAAACGGTAAGAAAATGCCTGAATAAAAACTATAATAATTTATAATAAGAAAACTTTTCATATACCACCTCCAACGAACACAAATTCAATTTAAAACCATGAATGAAAGAATTTTTAGTCAGAATTTAAATTAGTATTTTAAGTATTAATTTCAATCTCCTTATTAAAAAAATCTGCTAAGAAAAATCTTTAATTGTAAGAATACCAAAACCAAAAGTAAATTTTAAGTATTGAAAAAGTAGCTATTGTCATTGATTTATCCTCTTGATAAGTCGATTAATCTGCGATAAAACTGGATGACTTTGCATTTGAAATCAGCACTATGTAGTTTCTTTTAGCAGGAGCCATAATTACTACTAAAATTAACTCTGGCTCAACTGTATTTCAACTCAAATCTTCGAAATTCACTTCAAATCACGGCTTCTACAGAAAGAGAAAACATCAGAATCCTAATTCAGAGAGTTCATTCAGGTCGGAAGTGCATTCTTACTCCACATTATACCCCCTTTTATCGAAACCCTACAGCAGCATTTTGTTGGACATTTGCATTGAATACAATGCACACTCATTTCAGGAATATTTACTCTGTCAAGCATTTAACCCACGCACACCTTGTTTCCCTTATCGTTTGTCAATTCGGTGTTTCATTGTTCGAGGAGGACAAAGGCTATGATAAATCTTCGAATAAAAGACCTTAAAAGATAAGAGCATTGCATATGTAGCTTTTACGGTTTCTTCGTGAAGAGTAGGTTTCCCGTTATACAGCGAATTTACCTAAAAATAAAAAAGTAGCTTGAAATTATAAGATGGCGCGTTATACAGCTGTACCCATTATACGCCGGATAATACGGTACATTATATATGCATTCACTAATGTTTCTGAAAAATGCAATACCATGGAAAAATTGTTGGGAATAAATGAAATTTATTCCACACATGACTGATAGTGTTACAAATAAATGATCAAATTTTCAAGACAAAAATAACGAACGTTGGAAATCAGTATTTTGTTTGTGCTCCACGCTGAGATATGAAAGCCTGTACATGTCGTGGCCTTGAATCATACATATTCCGAATGTAATACTGGGAAATGGCTTCGATTTGACGCCAGAGTCCAGTCTTCACGTTTGCCCACCAGCTATGAAAGCGAGTTGCCGACCGATTAAATCTCAGGCATGATCAATCGGCGACATATCTGTGGAATAAGCAAGCCATAGAAGCGAAGCCTGTTGTGTCCTAAAAGAAGGCTTGTGCAGTCTGAGAAACATATTCACGTGCATTATCCTGCTGAAATACGGCTCCCGAAATGCGTCGAAGAATGGGGAGGATCTCTGGCTGCAGCACATCCTTTATTTAGCAATCACTATTGAGGTTGCCCCCAATCTGCATTAGACGGGATCGAAAATTATACCCAATATCTCCTCACACCATAATACCAAGCTTTTGTGTGGTATGACGTTAAATAACGTACTGTGGAAGCAGACGGCCCTCTCTATAACGTCTGAAGCGCACTCTTCCATCACTGTACTCATAGTAGCAAGAATCATCGGAGAAATAGTAGCAAGAATCATCGGAGGAAACAACCTGTTGCCACAGGGCACGCCCTGCACTATGATACCGTGCTCACTGAAGTCGGAGACGTCTGTGATTCAGCGACAGGGTAATTCTGCGTAGAGGAACCTTTGTACGCAGTTCATGCTGCAGCAGACGGCGACGAACCGTGGTGAACACCTGTAGACGTGCTCCAACGTTCTGCTAATACACGAAAGGACGCTGTACGATCCGTCACAGCCATGCGGATGAGATGTCTGTTGTCCCTTGCCGTTGTGCTCTTCCGTGCTCACTACCAGGATTTCGCCTTTTTCGGTTCTTCGATGTCCATTTCTTCCAAACACGCATCACTGTTATGGCATTTACGCTGCTTGCGGGCTGCGACTGCTCAATATGAAAGTCCATCATCTCGCATACCGACGATGCGACTTCGCTCGAACTCCTTTAGTTGTTAGTATGGCACCCTCCGCTGTTGACGAAGCATACTGATCACTAATTCAACGTTCACTGCAGACAGAGCACGATAAACAGATTTCAACACAACTTTGCAGCCCTTTATATACGTGGAACAAGCGGCCGGTTCTCATTCCATGCATGCGTTATCGTTTTGTAATTCTAATCATTTGCATGTCTTACCTCGCTATTTCCTGTACGTTTGGTTCAGTTTGCTTAATTCCTTCATGGTGTTGCAATTTTCACAAACATTAGCGTATTATATGTACACTGCTCAAAAAAAAAAAAATGGGACAGTGCTATATCTCCCGTTCTACTGGGCCGATTGACAAAATTCAAACTGCGTTTTTCATGTCTCGAAAGCGCGACTTAGGATATATATTAGATTTATATACAGCACTATTCTAACATAGGTATTTTGACACAAAATCGGACTTTTTCTGAAAAAACATACCAATGTTTTACATATTTCGATTCTACGACTCAAATTATGCCAGAATACCAAGTTTTGTAAAAATCGTACGAATAGTTTTTAAAATATTAGCTCTCAAAATTTTAGCTCCTCAATGTTAATTGAATTTGGCAAATATTTATTAATATCTCTTTTTTTATTAAACTTTTTTGATTTTTTCTCTCACATTTCGAAATTTTGGTTCATTCCAAATAAAATTTACCCATTTTTTGCGTTTTATTTTTTAAATTTCTATTTTTAAATAATTTCTATAGATTTTTCGAAAAAAATTTTGAATTATAACCTATAAAATTTTTACCATCATCTTAAAGTAGGTGTATTTTAAGCATATCTGCAAAAAATTAGACTTTTTTATTCAAAATTTTCTAAGATATACACGAATTTACATAATTTCGCGTTTTGAAATTTGGCACCTTTTTTTTTGAGCGATAATAACGCCAAATGTGGTCTATAGATTTTTGTTACACTGAATTGCCACAGCTATTTTTAACCTCAAATTTCAAGTAAAATTTTACGGAGAATTAATTATATGACATTTTTTCCCTCAATGATGCGTAATAAATATTTATTAATACTATATGAAAGGCTATTTTTTAAATTATAGATGATATTATTCAAATTTTTAACAATTTTTTTTTAAATTTCTCTCGTACCTTTTCTTTTTTAAAAAAATTTAAGAGTAAGTTTTTGTAAGAGTAAATTTTTACCTTCGGCGTTTTATCGTCTGCTACTTTACTTCGTTTAAATCGAATTGTCTAAAACTGAGAATTTTCGTTTGATATTTATTTGAATTTTATGACATTAACTGCACAATTTATTTCTAAACAAACTGTTGCTTTTAAAGTGGCTGAAAGAGCGGCTGATACTATCATCCATATTTTTAAAGCACAATATATTTTTTATAGAAACATAATATTTAGAATAATCATTTTTTATAAAAGTCAAATTATGATATAAACATACAACCCTCTAGAGATTGAATTAATGGAAGTTCAATGGTTATTTAGAAATGATCTGCAGCTACTTAATGGCTGGATAAGTCAGCAGATTCTGTGAACAGGTAAGAATAATTATATAAACGACACCAACATTCTGGATTCAATAAACAATGAGGATACGATGTTTACTAAATGAATTTAAGAAGTTTTAAAACATAAAAAATCAACTCATTTTTTTTTCTAAAATGTATTTTTGTGCGTAGCGTATTTTCATTATATCCTTAAAATTCTAATTTAGAATGTAATTGTCAAGAACTGAATCTAATCATCAGTAATATAATAAGTAATTATTACGGTTATTAATAAATCCTTCTTATAAAGTAATTGCAAATATTTCAAAAAACTTTCTGTCTGAATGCAAACATTTTTCTATGCAAATATTTTTAATTTTATATTAATCAAGATTGCACACCATATTACTTATTTCCACTTCAATTCTTACCGTCAGTTCTAGTAGAATTTACAAATCAATTATATTTAATTAAGGATTGGATTGGATTATTTAATTATGGCAAAGCACATTATAATCTTCCTAAAGCGAGGGATGATTTCGTGGAGGACTTTCTAAGGGAAACTGGCTCGTATACACATTACACATGGGGAAAACACGAAACCGCCCATGCGGCCAGCCCGTTCGCGGGATTCGAACCTCGGACTGAACTACCAGTGTTCAGCGTCTTTACCGCTCGGCCATTGGTGGGCTATTTAATTAAGGAATGACCATCTAAGTTAAGAAACAGCGTACCGTAACAACATTTCAATTATTGGCGCCGTATCTTTCATGTTACTCCCGATTGGCTAGCTACATGATTTTTAATGAGTATTCGGATTTTTTACTAGTAACTTCACTTGGAAATCGCGCTTAAACTAGGTTAGTTGGTTATTTGAACATAGAAAGAACATGGGAGCTATTTGATTAAGATGCTTTCATAGAGCATCTTTGTAAAGAGAACCTAAAAAACTACGAAAACCAACCATGCAGCCTGGGTTAGACTGAGCATCAAACAATTAGT